TTATAGAGTATTTTGATGTATATGTACACACACAAAATATTAATAGTTATTCACTGTGAATAGTTAAAGTGTTGAATTTTATAGGTGCTTTCTGATGATACTTTTTAATATTTTCAAATTTGTTGCTTTGAACACATATTCATTTTTAGAATTTTTAAATATAATGAATACAGTCTAATGATGGCATGTTCATTTCTCATGACAACTATGTTAGTCCTGACTATTTCAAAGCTGTTATCAACTAATCCCCAAAAACTTTCAAATATAACTACACCTCAGACCAGAAAGATCCAGAGCTCTTTCCAGCATTTCTAGCCCCCAAGGCTTACACTTTACAAAGTACCTGCTGGGAGCTGGGTTTGTCTGTTTGTTCTAAAGCTGAAAGTGAAGCCAGGTGTGGTACCCAGGCATTTGAAAGGCTGAGGCAGGAGGATTGCTGTGAGTTCGAGGCCAGCCTGCACTACAAAGTGAGACCTTGCCTCAAAAGAACAGCAACAACAAAAGGGAGCCACTTTCAGATCTCAGGCTGTGCTCCTTGAGAAGCGGCTCAAATTAGAGTTAGAACTTTCTGTCCCTTTCTCCTTTGTCTTCCAACTCCTAAGGCAGCAAATTCCTGATTTGCAGGAGACAGACAGCACACACCCATAACACCGAGAGATGTCAGTGGTAGGAACTAAGTCTATGAGCTTATGAGTCTATAAAATCATTCACTTTCACTGCTGGAACAATCCAAGTCTCTTGGGTTAATAAGTAATCTGGGCTTCTGAAACATCACATGGAGGACAGCAGGGAGAATTCTGTCTCTATTATCATGCTTTGTAAAAACAAACTCCCATGCCCTCTCCAAACCAGATTCCACCTTCTGCAATACCTGGGGCACATCCCCCCTCCTTTTTCCCTCCCTCTATCTCCTTGACATCTTTGTCATGGCCTGTGCTAGTATGAACCTGCCCTTTCCAGTATATCCTTGTCACTCTCATGGGGGCTTCTTTTCACCCTTACCCACTGTCTATAGAGGTTCATCCAGTGCTTTATTAGGGAAATGTTCTATGACTCCTTACATCAGAATCTGGGACAATTGCCCCTATCTAGTGGATTCCACTATCCTGTGCAGGTGACAGGTGAGCTAAATGTCCATCCTCTAAATTTCTATATCACCATACCTTTTCTGTGTCTCCAAGACTTACCTCTCTGCACTTGTCTTCTAGCCAGCCAAAAGGACAAAGAAGAGCTTCACTTCTGAGCCTCACCAGTGGGTGCTACCCTCTGACCAGCTTTCTCTATACAGTCAGCAATGCCAAGACTGGTTTCTTCAACAAAAACCCAAAGGCAGATTTACCTCCTCTCTCCACTGGCTCTTGTACCTTGCTACAAATTCACAACAAGGTCAATTGAGCATAAGCGTCCACATTTGTAGCTGTTTTGCAGAATAGTTTTGCATTTGTTGGGTCTTATAATAAAATATTTGGACTTGTATTTTGTCTTTCATTTTTGTTCCATGTTTTAAAATTCATTTGTATTATATTTTATAAAAGTTTTAATCCATATAGATTGGAGATTTTTTTAAAAAATCTTTAAAATCCTAGTACTTCAAGTCATAATTTGGGAATCACTGATTTAGGTGACTTGGATAGAAACAGTCTACAACATACACTTCGAAAACGTTACTGTTTAGATTCATGCCATTATAGAGTAGCCCCATCTTGTAATTTTATCTACTCCCTTGAAACCCACTCTAAGTGGGTTTCACTCTATACCTTGCAGCATATTAGAACCACCCAGGGAGCTTTTAAACAGTTTCCTACTGACACAGAAGCCATACTGCAAACCAGAATCTCTCAGGGTGGGGCTCAAACATTAGCAATTCTCTTTTTTTTTTTGGTACGGGATCGAACTCGGGTCCTTGCATTTGTAGGGCAGGCGGGGGAACCACTTAGCTAAATCCCCAGCCCCCTGGCAATTTTTAATAGCTCCCTAAGTAGTCCAAAGGTACAGCCAAGGTTGACCCCCATTAGCCTGAATTCTCTCAATCAATCATCTCGAACCACTTGTCTTGCCCTTCTGTTGTTTTGTTTTTATTTGAGAATGCCTGGCTCAATACTCTCTTTCCAGTAATATTTTAATCAAAAATGAAAGCAACAGGGCTGGGGATTTAGCTCAGTGGTTCCGCTGCCTGCCTTGAAAGTGCAAGATACCGAGTTTGATCCCCAGTACCAAAAAAAAAAGAAAGAAAAGAAAGCAACAAATGAGGAAGGGCACGCACTTCCAGAGTAGTGGAATAAAGACCTCCAAAAAGGCACCTCTCAAAAAAGTAATGAGAACACTGGAAAAATAGCCAAAATTAATTTTTCCAGACTCTGAAAATTAATCAAAGGCTTGCAACAACCCAAGGAATATATAGCCAAGAAAAAAGCTGCAGTTGGGTGAGAATCAATGCTTTAGTTACTTTATTTACTTTACTTCCATCTCCCTTTCTTTGACTCTATAGTGGTTTAAAAACCAAGAATCTTGCAATTCCAATGATCATAGCTATGAAATCTATCAGTCCAGGAGTCCCTTGATCCTTGCGGGGTAGAATGGAATTGGAGCTCTAAAAGTCCCACTCTAGAAGATTACTGTGATTTGGCCTGTCTGGCACATAAAGGGCTCCATTCTCAGGGCTTCTCTTCAGTTGACCTAACTCAGAGCTTGGTTGGTAAGAATAGCCTATTCTTAAGGAATTTGTCAAAGACAATCATCAGCTATTGTTTAATATCACAGCTGCCTGAGATAGTGCTACCAGTTTGGGCTTACAAAAGGCTGATCAAACACTTAACAGAAAAAAATTGCGGAATATGTCTACAGGGGACATTTGTAAAACCCCAGTATATTCCAGGGCATCTAGAAAGCCACAAGACAGACCTGATAAGGCCTAGAAAACACCTGGTAAGGCTCTATTCTCTCACCTCTGGCTCACGTTGAGGCTCTGTACAAATAGGAACTAAAGGCAAAGAAAAAATTGTAAACCACTAGAGTGTTGAAGGCATACCTCAATTCAAGTACTTGCCTTGGAAAAAGTTGGGAAACTTATTGGTTCAAGGCATTTAGGAAAATCACCATGCAATCACTAGATGACCACTAGGTTAATCAAGCTTAGGTTTCTATGGGTGCACGTGACAAAGAATAAAGACTTTAAGAATTAAACCAAGAAAGTCACTAGAACAACAGTAAATAAATAGCAACAACGAAAATCTCTGAGAAGGGAACAGAATTCAATTTTCAAAGCTATCACATTATATTATTTAAAATATCCCATTTTCAACCAAAAATAATTGTGATAGAGATAACAAGGGTGGGGAAACATGGCCTGTATAAAAGGAAGATAAGCAGTCAATAGAAACAGTGTTTGAGGAAGAACAGATGTCAAAATTATTACATAAAGATAGTGCAAATAAAGATATTCATAGAAGAACTTCCAGAACTGCTTCAGAAGGTGGCAAGAGCAATGAGATAAGTGTGAGCAAAGCAAAAGAGAAAATTTTGAGAATGATAATAGCATTGTGTGCCTCTTACTGTAATAACATTTTTAAAATATAAACCTTCACTATAGTTTTCAACTGCACTTCATAAACACTTAAAATTGAAACTCCAAAAGTAAGTTTCTTGAAAGTTGATGCTGAGTTGTAAGGTCAGGCCAGGAGCCGTTGGTGGTCTTACTATGGAAGTGTGAGGAGGGCAGGAGGTCTCCCCCGTGGGACATGCTTTGGGGCTCATATATGCCCTATGATGGCAGGAAGTGCTCAGCCATGCTAATCCAGCAACGCCTACTTCCCATAAAGGAGTTTACTGTATAAACAGGCTCTCCGGGAAGTCAAAGTCTGGCCCTATGCAAGGGATATAGTGGGCAAAAGCCTTTCTGAGGCTGTGTCTCAGGCTCCCCTTGGCAAAAATGCTTGGAGCCCTTAAGTGGAGTCAGACAGTGTATCCCTCCATTATTTCCCTGCCTTTCTCACCATCTCCCCAGCAGCCACTGCCCACAGACCTCAGTTCAGAGTGGAGGGTCTTTTGTTCTGAAAATTACACAATCATACAAATTTATCTCTGACCTAAAGTTGTTGAAATTTATTGCACTAAATGCCATCCAAGGAGGTATGCTAAGCAGAGGACCACCCAACGTGCTAGACCTTAGGCAAGTCTGAGTTTTGTTTCCCCATCCATAAAATGGAGATAACCTCCTTCGCAGAGTTGTCCATGAGAATTAGAAACACAGTAGACATTCAATACCTGATACATCTCACACATCTTGTGTGGAGAATAATAAGATGATGGAGTCTGAGGCCTCTGCCCTGTATCACATGAGATAGAAACCAATGGTAGAGAATTAGTTCCAAAAAGACCAGAAAGTTCTCCAACCAGAAAGCCAAGGTCAAGGGCCATAGAACGTAGTCAGAGGTGGCCACCCTTGGGTGGTCAAATGCTGAGCTGGATCTGGGAGGAGGGAACACTCTCACACTGGGGAAAGTTGGAGAGTATTTCTGGGCAGGATCTAATGCTACAGGTACATGGAATAGGTAACATCCCATCCCAACCTGACCCCATCCTAAGGTCAAGAAGGGACAGGCCCCCAAATGATCTAGTCAAAATTTTGGAAAGAAATGAGTATTTCAAATTTACCTTGAAAGGAGGGAAGAATCAGTGACTTCTACTGCATGGTTTTGGTTTTGTTTTTTTTTAATGTGACAGTTTCTTTATATTTAATTTAATGTTCCACTAAATCCTTTGGAAGGTGAGTCTGTGACTCCCCACAGTTAAGTGTTAGGTAGCCTATGGCATCCTTTAGGAATGGGCTTGTATATAGCCGTCACAGTCACTGTGAGATAGAATCTGGATTGGAACTCGAGCCTGGATGTCACCGGAGCCCCTGCCCCTTCTGCTGAGCCAGATGACCTCTGTTTAACCTCTGGTCCAGGAGCCGCTCGCTCGGGAACACCAGGGGGCGCCTTTAATCTCCACACAGACCCTGAGCCCAGCCTTTCCAAGTCTTAAGATCTCTGCACAAAAGGGGGCCAGGCCACCTAGTACTCTTCGTGAGCAGCTGATGCAGGAGGTCAGGACCATCATGGACTACTTGGGGATCCAGGGATACGAACAAATTGAGGCTTAAGGTCAGAGTTCACCCGTATATGGGGAGAAAAAATGAATTATTAGTGGGCTAGAAAATGCCTGCTTCCAGCATCCCAAGGAATGAAGACTTGTTCTTTACATTTTAATCTTTTAGAGGTCTCTTCTCTCTTTAGTTCCCTTCCTCCTTGTCTTCTCCTCTGAAATGTCAATTCTCTCCCTCCTGTCTGCGTCTGTTCCCTACTCCTGAACACGTTTTCGTTCCTCCCCTTGAGACCCAAGCCTGATACCCTGGTCCGTTATTGAAGGTGTCCTCTCTGACCATACGAGGTGGGTGGTGTCGACCCCCGTGGAGGTCTAGGGGCTGGGGTGAGGAGGTCAGTGGAGGACGAGGAGCCGGGGTGAGAAGGTCAGCCCACGCCCTGCCCTCCGACCCCCTTAGTGTGACCTTCTGGAAATTTGTTGCAATGCTCCCTGTGCCTGCGCTCCCATTGGCCGGCCACCTCATGTCCCCATTGGCTGGGGCTGCTGACAGGGCCGCGATTGGTCCCCACCCAGCCAAGGTGCCAGGTCGCCTGTTATCTGCCCAGTAGGAGCCTCATACTCCACTCTGGCGCAAGGCACGAGGTGACGACAGCTCCGGCTGTGCCGCCTCCCGGGTGTGCCGCAAGTAGGAACGTGAGGTGCACAGTGCCCGCACCCTTGGTGTGTGAGTATCCACTGGGGGTCACGTCCTGGGGGGCCTTGTGTGTGGGTGTGCGTGGACACACCGGTGGGCCCCACGCGCATAGCCTGACAAGAAGTTGGCGTCTGCTGCACAGTGCATAGAAGGGTTTGTGTGTGTCTCTGTGGAGGATCGAACTCAAAGCCTTCTCACTGAGCTACATGCCCAGCCTTTTACTTTTTAAAAAACATTTATTTATGTATTTATTGAGCCGATATCATTAACTAGCTAGATTTTCTATGTGTGTATAATAAATTGCAATACATTTCTAGAGTATTTTATGAGTTTGCTTAAAGTTTGCTAAGAAAAGTGGATCATACTCAAATGTTTTCTGGTACTTAAGAAGGATTGAAAGTTTTACTCAGGAGGCTGAGGCAGGAAGTTTGCAAGTTTGAGACCAGCCTGGCCAACTGAGGAATACACTGTCTCAAATATTAAAAAATAAAATTAAATTAAAAGAGCTAGGGCTGGGCAGGGTGGTGCATGATTGTAATCCCAGCACTGTGGGAGTCTGCAGCAAGAGGATAACAGGTTCAAGTCCAGCCAGGACAACTTAATGACTTAGTGACATTCTGTCTCAAAATAAAAAATTAAATTAAATTTAAAAAATTTTAAAGGGCTGGGATGTAGTTCAGGGGTAATATACCCCTGGATTGGATTTTAGTGGAAAGAAAGAGAGAAAGAAAGAAAGAAGAAGGAAAGAAAGAAAAAGAAAGAAAGAAAGAAAGAAAGATTGACTGTGAGAAAGTGTACTCTGCTTTATAGATAAGAATAAAAAACAGAGCATGTGACCATGTGAATCTTCACAAAATTCCCTTTAGTTGAAGTTATCCAGGAAGCTCCCTTTGAACTTCATTAGATTGAAAAGCTTTTGCTCGGCAAGCTGATTCCCCATACAAGGTTGAACACAGCAGTGAGGTTTTTAGAGGGAAAATATATTAGCGCTATGGCCATTCTAAAATGCCTCATCGCATATTTGGTTCTAATTTCCTGCAGAGTGAATGAGCTTCACACACAAAAAAGCACTTTTCACTGAACTGCAGATGAAGCTTTGCACACTGCCATGTGCTGCATACCTCACTCCTGTTAGAACATGAGTGGCTTGAATGTAAGACAGCCAACAGCCACGGAGTCATGACTATGACCTTTAAAAAGAAAAGGTTTAGAGTTCACCTCTTTAACACAGATAAAGAAATTAAGACCTAGAGTTTCTTAGCTCCTCCAGATTACATGGCTGGTTAAACAAAAGCTAAGGTTACAACCCAGGTCTTGGGCCAAACCATAAACCAGCACCTTTCCCTATACCAATTTATCCTTTGGTAATAAATCATCCCTGAGAGCATCATTCACCTGCCTGGGATTGTTAAGAACTATCTTCCTTCAAATACTGTCTGCACTCAGTTCCTCTTGTGTTTGTGTATTTTAGATGCCTAAACAGTTAGATTCACCTCTCCAACCATGTCCAGTTTTGAGTAAGAATGGAACGCCTAGGTTCTTCCTCTGTATAATCTCTATCTCTGCTTTGTAGCAATTGGTTGGCATTATCTTCAGATAACTTTTTAAGCATCTCAAATAGGCTCTCTCACTGTGAGTCTTGCCAAGGACTGAATTCATGAGACAGTGATTGCCTGGGGTCCAGAGAGGTCTTTAGGATCAGGGTGGAACTAACATGTTATTCCCCGCTCCCCACTCCCAAGCTTTTCTCTTAATCTTCATTGTCCCTCAGCTCATTCAACTCTGGTCCCCATGCCTGGGAGATTTTTGGCTCATGGTCCAGACAATAAAACTCTTAGCAGTTGCAGTCTGGAAGAAACAGCCAAGAAAGGGAGTCATTAAGTGAGACCTTTATTAATTACATCCTGGGAAGAACACCGTCAATGCTTGATCCATGGTCTCTGACCACAGAATTTACTGGCTTGTTAGCAGCACAAGATTAACTTAGAGACCAGAGTGGCTTGGAGATGGGAAGCTTCTCAGAGGAAATGGGACTTAACCTGGGACTTAAAGGATAAGTTGGCTTTAGAGAAGTAGAAACTTGGGGCAGAGCCAGAGAGGGGTTATAGGTGGCCTGAAAGGCACTGGGCTATGGAACAGAGGTTAGTAGGAAGAAGAGCAAAAAGTGTCTCTTGCTAAAGAACCAAGTGAGAGAGGATAAATTGGGAGATCGTGAGTGTTCGGGGCTATTAAAATGCCACTTGCCCCAGGGGCAAAGTTCTATGTCATTTTCTCTACTGCTCTGATACCTTAGACTGCTAGCAGCAGATTCCTTAACACACTTTCATCTGTAAAGGTATTTTTTTAAAAGAAAAGATTTTTTATTTTAATTAAAAGATCATCTGTTGATCTCAGTTATACACTCTACTTGGTTCCACTTACCATATGTTCCCTCTTTCCTAGCAATAGAGCCAACTTTTGGAATAAGGTGAAGGAGGGCCCTGTCCTCCCTTTCCCTCTTTAAGATAATGACTTCTGTGACACTTGTGCTGGGCAAGTCAGCCTTTCACACGAATCACAGGTACTAACAGGACAGATCCAGCTCTTAGCAGAACAAAAATTTCATTCTAGGGCCGGGGATTTAGCTCAGTGGTGCCACCACCTGCCTCACAAGCACAAGGTTGAGAGTTCGATTTCCGGTACCAAAAACAAAAACAAAAACAAAACAAAACAAACAAAAACCCCAAAAATCTCATTCTGAAGAATATTGACCTAAGCTCCCATCAGGGCCACAGAAAACAAAATTCCAAGTCAATCAAGATAACTGGGAAAGAAGGGCTTTGGGGGTTTGTGGCAAAATCATCCTTAGTGGTGAGCAGAACGTAGCAATTTAGGGGGAGGATATTGTAAATCACACAAGTTACAATTAGTTTTCACAGCAATTGGGCTTCATTCTCCCCGTCAAGCAGAGGGGGCAGATCATTCTTAACTTCCCCACAGTGCCACCTCTTCCTGTCCTAAGGGGAGAATTTTCTCCCAACTCCTGACCAGAGGGCACCTGGGCAGGAGGAGGAAGATGGAAGACATACCTTCAGGTAGCTGCCGGGATGTTCTGGTGCTGTCCCCATCCCTAAGATGAGCAGTGAACATTTGACAGCCCTGGCTGCCTCCTAAAGTCAGTAAATAATGGGAAAGTCTGCCCCTGTGGGGAAGGCAGAGAACTGCATCCCTATTCAGGGACTGTTCTCAGCCACCCAACTATTTCAGACAGAGTGTGTCTGAGTAGAAGCCCTGGAAAAAAAACTTGAATCATCAGCCTGGCATTAACATTTACATGGGTAGAGCTCAGATTTCCCATAAGCCCAGAGGCCTTTTGTGTAGTATTCTATGACTATTAGAGAATTTGAGGTCCTGGAAGGACCCTTGTAATTTTATACCATTCATCTAGGGCAGCATTTCCCATCAGATTCCTGTTTTATGTATTGTCTTAGCCCATTTCCCTCTGCTGTGATAGACCTGGCAAATGAGAAACAGTCCTGGAGGCTGGGAAGTCCAAGATCAAGGAGCTACATGTGGTGAGGGCCTTCTTACTATGGCATGGCAGGGCAGGGCAGAAGGTACTATATGGCAAGAGAGGATGAGTGCAGCAGCATGAGCGTAAGCAGGAGAAGGAAAAAGGAGCCTTCACTCATCTTTCTATCAGGAGCACATTTCCCCGAGTAACTGACCCACTCCAGGGATGACAACCTTACTCCACCACTTTTTAAAGGCTCAACCTCTTAACATTGTCCCAATGGCAAGTAACTGTCAACCTGAGGTGTGGAGGGGGTGTGCAATCCATAGCATGCTTATATTTCCAACAGTCTCCCCAAGTGACTGATTTGTATCAAAATTCACAAGCCCCTGGACAAACTCATGCTTTGTCCTTACACTGCAAGACTGAGCTCAAGGAGAGTGGAGCCAGCAGAAACTTCCCATTCTATTTCATCCCAGACCTGGGCACTGAGCACCTGCAGGGGCCAGGCTCTGCACCAGGCACTGAGGGTACTAGGTCATGAAGGCACAGCCACTCTGCTCAAAAAGCTGGCAGGACTGTCAGGAGCAGCTGTCTTCTGAGTGCACATTATGTGAGCTCTCTCTGACAGAAGGAGCCATGCTTAGGTAAGAGGCCCTCCTTCCTGCCTCTTCTCAAAACTTACGTTTCAGTCCCAGAATCCACTCACCTAGAGAAGAGCTCTTGGTTTGTAAGTTCAGATGTGACAGAGGCCAGCTGTCGTAGCCATTTACCTGTCTTTGGGATAAAGTATCTGACACTCACAACTTAAGAAAGGAAAGGTTAATTTGGCCCATAGTTTCAGTGGGCCATGGTCAGCTGGCTCCAAGACAGAAGTAGCCTGGTGAGTGGACACAGCCAAGGAAAGCTGTTACCTGGGAAGAAGAGCATAAATAGAGGCACTTGGGACAAGAATACACCCTTCCAGGTCACAGCCCCAGTGACTCTCCAACCAGACCCCGCTTCCTGTCAACATTCAGCTATAGAACTCATCCATGGATGAATCCACTGATGAGTATAGCACCTCCATAATCCCATCACTTTCGAAACACCTGAGACATTGGGGGACATTTCAGGTCTAAACCTTAACACTAACATAATCATCACCTTCAGACCACACAAGAAGCAAAGCAAGGCAAACCTGCCTCTACTTCCCCGTGAAGCGCCAAACGAGGTACAAGGCATTCTCTATTTTTTCTCCTCTTTGAGGTATAACATACACAGAAAAGTTCATTAATCAAAAGTAGACACTGTGATGGATTCTTTTTCAAATGCATACACCAGGGTGACCATTCTCCAGATCAAAGAGGGGCCATTCTGAAAACTGGCAAACTCTCCCAGGTAGGATATGTGCCTGTTCAACTTTGACAGCGTATGAGGCACAAAGTCTCGGTGCCCTGTTGTCCTTGGTCACAGAAATGAGCAAGTGTCTGGTGAGCTCAAGCAGAGTGTCACAGGCAGGGTCCCTCCACTGTGAGTCCAGCATAGGTGACTTGTGAGTCTCAGAATCAATATTCAGTAAGAGATTTTGTATCTGTTATTAGTTATATTCATTGGGTTGGAATCTTTTACCTCGGAGGTACCTCCTTTCTTGCTGCTCAACCGGCCTTTCTTTTTTCTTAATGTTCTCTTTTATTATTTAGGGTAAAAAGGCATATTACATTACAGCTTAGAATGTCCACCTCTGGAGAAGGCAGCCACCCTGGTGGCACAGTGCCCCAGCCAATGATGCAGGTACAGGAGCTGGAACCTCGTGTGGCCCGAAGACGCCTTTCCCAAGCCCGCCACCGAGCCACCATGGCAGGGCTCTTTGACAACCTGAGGAAGATTGTTTACTCCAAGGCTGAGCTCACAGCCTCAAAGGTACAAGGGCCTGGGTGTGGGGAGGAGACGTTTTCCACATGTAGAGGGAGGTGGGCTGAGATGAGACCTGGTCTGGAGCTGCTGACCTTGCTGCCCAACCTTGAGGGTTGCTTCATAGCACCAGGAGTGCTGCTGCTGCTGCTGCTCCTGCGCAGAGGTGAACTGTGAGCACCAGGCCATATCAGCTTGCATGGACAAGCCTGACACAGAAGAGAAATGATGTGCTTAAAGAGACGCTTGGTTAGCCAGTGATTGCCATCCCTAACACATCCACAGGCAGCAGCAAGCTTTCTGTAGCTGTTCCAGAACCCTGCCTCTACCTAAACACACATTCATCAGCGCTTGTTTTCAGGTACATGTACACCATGCACACACCACAGGATTACACACATGCATGCACTATACGACTACTACACACACATACACACATGTGTATACAGTGCACATGTACACCCTCAGGTTTTGTGCACCGAGGAAGTCTTTCCCCTAGGCAATGGGTCTCTCCAGGTAAGCATTTATCTTTTCCTGCTCTTAATTCTGATTTCCCCCTCATGCAGTTTTTAATTGCTAATTAGCAGTAAATAAATTAATTACCTGACAGAGCATGGAGGAAGGTCCAGGTAAATTGGGGGAGTAGTAGAAGGAATGGAGTTAGTGTTAGCAGTGGAAGCATGAGAGGCCAGAATAGAAAGGTTCCCCAAGAGTTGTAGTTCCCCACCCTCTTAACAGAAGAGGGAACCAGAGTTGAGGAAGCACTTACCCACTGGTTACGGCAGTGCCAGGAAGAGGCCATGTACCTGCTCCAAGCATGGCCACCTCTCAGGACATTCTTGTTGTCCCGTACATGTTCCCAGCCAGCATAGTTTCCTCTCTAGGTGGGTCTTTCAGCAGCGTAGTACTCAAGAGTTTCATGCTGGCTGTTCACCATGCTTGCAGAGGCTTGGGGACATTTGGGGACAGACATCCAGGTGAGCTCCTGAGCAGGCATGGGACAAGGTCTCTGTGGAGGTCAAAGAGAGGTGCCTCTGAGTACCCTTGTGCAGGGCTCCAAGTGGGGCCTGTGTTGCTTTTAGCTGACAGAATCCCACCAGAGACCCCACCTGCTCCTGTAGAATGGTGCAGCAGGCTGGTGAGGAGCAGAGGGAGGGCTGCTTTTTCCCCTCTGCTGAGCCACACTAAGAGGCTCAGGACTCAGCTGGGTGATAGCAAATCTGGCCTCTCTGATGAAAGTTTGCCCAGCACAACTGTGCTCCACGTCCTTTCGAGAAAGAGAAGCTTACTGTGTGCTTCCGGGAATGCATAAAAACCAAACTCCCTGGCATAGGCCAACAGAGAAGTGTACGCAAAGAAGGAATAGGCATTCAGAGTCTCACAGTAAGCAGTTCAGGTAACTCCAGAGGAAAACCATGTGCATGCCTAAAGTTGGCCTTCATGACATAGCAGGTGATGGAGCATGACTATTAACCAGCCTCAGTGAATGAGGAAAGTTCCTTCTGACTTTAGGAAATCCATCTGCTAAGGAAAGATAGTCACGGGCCGGAGATTTAGCTCAGTGGTTCTGGTGCCTGCCTCGCAAGCACAAGGTC